CCCCTTTTTCTTTTTCTTCCAACTCCCCTGTCTCCAATATCTCCTTCAGACTCTTAAGTGACACGCACAACGTAATAAAAAAAACAAAAAAAAACAACCGCCCTTACACATACAAAGCAACAAAGGCGGTCCACTACAACACAAGTGCCTCTGCATACCAGGAGGGAGGGGGGGGGTCTTTTAGTTTTAGTAGAGGTTTTACGGCACTCGCAACGGCATAAGGTCATATGAGCGCCAGAATATTAGAGGTGTTACAAGAGAGTAACAAACATAAATAAGAAGAAGGGGAGATAAGGACGATAAATGTTCGATAGGAAAGAAGAAGCAAACCACACCAGAGCACTCGCCAACCAACCTCGGGGAGTTCTTTGTTTTAACTACATTATCTGATACTGAAGTTTCTTGAACAGACTGTCTCGTACGACACATGTGCATGTAAGAAAATTTAAAAAACAAGACGTTGTTGTTTCCGTATCGAGCTGTTGAAATAAGGGTATCGATCTAAAAATTACGCATCGGCGTATCGAGCGAATGCGAGAACTGAAAACCCAATCCTTTACCATTGACAATTGAACTAGATTTCAAAGTACACGATGACACACAATGACTAGCAAAAAAAGGAGACACGTACGTTTAACTCGTTCAAAAAAACAGTTCCTGACGCTTTAATTCGTTCACATTAGAAGCTACATGTGAAAAACAAATAAAGAGCTGACAGACAGACAGATGGATAGATAGACAGATAGACAGAGCTGAGGCCGAGAGATAATGACAGAATTGGGGGAGAGAGAGATGGGAGTGGACAGACAGACAGACAGACAGACAGACAGACAGACAGACAGACAGACAGACAGACAGACAGACAGACAGACGGACAGACTTTTCCTCATACTTCTTCCTCCTTTCAAGCACACAATATGACGCAACAACATCCGTGTTGACAAGGAACTGAATTCACAGAAAATTTTTACAGAAAATAAGAACAGAAACAAACCTCTCCATGGATACTTCACTTTCTAGCCATACTCTTGTTTGTATTTTGTTGGAAGGCTTAGGTTAAAAAGAAGGAGGAAGTCAAGACAAAGAAGGATATGACAGAATGCTAAGAGGTTAGACAAGAAAACTAAAGCTGACGCATCATACTGTTTCGTGCATTTCCCACGTCCATTACCACAACACTGATGTTGTGGGCATTTATTGCATGTCCCTTGAACAGACTCCGTTATAATCCCTTGTGCGTACACCATTTTCTCCCATATGTTTCGTTCACCCCCCGGGACGGTGCCACTCACTGAAGTGTCTTTAGGCCATTCCCGAAAGGGGGACATTTTTCGTTCATGCAAAGCAGAATTGGAAATGGGCTGATTCATCAATGTCACGCTCATAACTGTGCCTGATCTACAACCAGGAAATGCCGCTTCTTCTTTCCTAATCCTTACTATTGTCATTTTTCTCTAGTTCTTTTGTATGTTTGTCAAACTCTTGCGACCCATTATTTCCGGGGTGCCTTGACAGTCGAAGCAGATTTTATGCTGTTGAAGTTAGAGAGGTGAGCAGAGTAAGTCTGATTCACCGTACGAACTCCTCTGTTAACATCCACCCCTTGGCGCTCATATGACCTTATCATGCAGTTGCCAGCGCCGTAAAACCTCTACTAAAACGAAAACCATATGTCTCAAATCTTTCTTGAAAGTAAACGTATAAAATACAAAGTATAATACTTTACTTTTTCAGGCCTCTGTTACCTAACGGTGTCAAGGACAGAAGCAACCGTCTTTTCTTGTTTGTTGCATCGCCCGTTGCCTGATTATTGTTTTTGCCTATTATGACTCCCTCTATCCACTTTTCCTGAGCCTTCCTCCTCTTTTGTATCCATCTGATCTCTGATTGTATGCTCTCGCAGCTATTCTGTCTGATGGAATTCTCTGTCATAGAGGCCCAAACCATTTCATTCGTTGTTTGTATATGTGCTCCAACCAGGGAGTCGAGCCTACTTGTTCTCTCACAGCCTCGCTTCTCGTCCTGTATTTTCTCGTGATGTTCAAAGTTCTCCTTAGGCATTTCATTTCACTTCCGTGAACACATATCCCTTGTATTTGAATTCTTCTACTTGTTTCAATTGCATCGCCTCGGACTTGCTTGTACTGATCTTCATGCTGTGATCTTTGAAGCTATTGCTTAGTTTGTGCAAGTGTTAGTGTTCTTGAGGGGGGGGGTCTTTCGTTGTCGCCTTATATTCTCTGGTCGAACTCGAACAACATAATATTGAATTACCACGGACATTGCGTTCCGGGTCTCTTTCACGCCTCAGCGCACGTTCTTCACAAGAACAGAATTCAGCTGAGTTGATTAAATATTGATCTAAAATCAAATATTGATCTAAAATTATTGTTCATTGTAACACCCAAATTGAAACAGTTCATATCATTTATGAGGTGGGTTGCCTACTAAACAGCTTCACTCCAGTCAAAAGGAACCCCCGCTGAGAGGGATACAGCATCCCAGCAGGAAGACAGAGATACTCGACGAAAGACTTCCCTGCTCGGGAACCGAACAGATGAACAAACATGTTGGCCTTTTGTACAGTACAGCAGTTGGTGGTTGGCATGT